ATTAGGAAAGTCCAAAAGTGAGGCCACGTACATGGGCATGCAGGACCTGACGCTGGGCCAGCAGGGGGTCTCGCTACTGGCGCAGCTCGGACGTTGTAATTTTGTGTGGTAAGGTCCGTTGAATTTCGTAAAGGAAAAGACCCGGCCGGGAGGACCAGGAGAAAGAGCCCGGAGAGGAAGACGTAGGTGGTGATGTGGGAGTTCGACATTTTGGAACGGACCAGCCGATGCAGGAGTTGTAAGAAGGTGGCTGTTATTTATGGTAACCCATGAGCGGTGTTTATACTTCGCGTTGCGTTGAACAAGAACGGCAAATAGATCCAGGGGCCAAAAGACTGTGCTCCGTCGACTGAAACGAGTTGGAGCCGGCCACTTGTCCCACAGATCAACCCAGACACTGGACGGTTGACCAACCTTGTAGCTCACACCAATTCACCATGTTTTACATCCGGCGCCAACCACGAGAGAAGGATTGCTCATTTTGCAGCCGCCGAAGTTCAAGAATTGTAGAACGGCTGCTGGTATTTATAACCCTCGTTGAGCGGTGTTTAACCTACGTGTTGCGTTGAATAAGAACGGCGAGTAAACCCAGGGGGTGGCAAGAGGCGGTGTTCCGTCGACTGAAACGACTTGGTCGTCCAGGCCCAAGATCCCGAGAAGTCACCGTCCTTCCCATGCACTCTCATGTCTCGAGGTCCTTTCGGCCATGGAAACAATCAGCTCGGATCTGGTTGTCCAATAAATCAAACGGGACCCACCACATTGCCCACAAAACAAATCACCGTTTTCTCAAGAGCCAGGCTCAGTTTGAGCAGTCATGTTCAAGGAAGGACACGGTAAGCAGCTCTTCCCATCACCCACGAACGTTCAATGACGGATTTTCGCAGAAACGACTACTTCTCGGACGCCAGACAGCAGATACGTTCTGATTCGGAGTTTCCACGAACGGGAGCAACATTTACGGGAACTAGAAGAGTTCATGAAACAATTAGCTTCCCAGCCAGCCAAAATATTTCTACCTGACCCACTGAGTACCGACATTCCTTCTTATCACGCGAATCTGCCGCCAGAGGTACAAAAATGGGTACAGGGACGCAACGAGGTGGTCAATATCTCGACGCATCGACATCCCAATGGATTAGGTGGGCTGCGTCTGTGCTGTTCGACTTCTATTGACAAATAATCCAGACCAGAGCGAGGAGTCCCTGCACATGCGAGATGTGTTTGTTCCGAACAGATATGACATGTTGTGCCGCAACGTAGTTGAGTTGGACAGCCACCTGACAGAGCTGGAAATCCAGGCGGGAGGCGAAGATATTGAGCTGTACAGCATGTATCGCTCGCTCAATGCCATGGGAGGATACATGGCGACTCTCCCACCGCCCAGTACATATTCGGCGACGTTGAGCCCGCAGCTGCTGCAATGGGTCAAGGGCAGGGGCGAAGTCATAAACATCCAGCCAAGCCCACAGCAAGGGTATGGCGATCCAGAAGCCCCCAAGAACTGGTTGGGGCGGATGATGGATTGGATGGTAAAATTGTTTCGTTCCTAGGATAAAAAACCCGGTCCACTCGGTCGCTGCTCTGATGAATTTATGGGATTGTTGGCGAGAGTCGACCCCACTACTCTTCATCAAAAATTAGGATTGGATAGCAGCCATTTAACACGGTGATCGTACAAGCTGAAACTACGTGTCAGTTTCATAATGCGTGAAAATGGCGACAGGCTGACCCAAAATGGAGTCCCATCGCGAGAGCCGCAACAGGCGCGGACCTCCGAGGAATATCTGCTGCGATGCATATGGGATCCCAACGCCGCCCCAGGTCCAGAAATAGCGACGAAACAACTAGCCTCCATCTTGAAGCCGCTGTCAATTTGGGTGTATGTCACTTCAAGTTGCTATGGCGAAACAGAGATCCGCGGCCTGTCGTCCCGGATGTTAAACACATGATGCAGCCAGAGTGAAGAGCACCGACTGCACAGTCTCATCAGCACAAGTCGAATCACTTGCCATCGAGGGTGTTGAATTAAACCAGATGGCGCAAAATCGGACAATCTTCTTCCCGAAACTGTCCACCTTTGCATGCATTCATTCTTCCGTTTACAATTTCTTTCGGCTGATATCGATGTCCGTTCGACTAGGGCCCCAGTCATATGAAGATGCTCAACAGCCCTTTTACACGTCCCTTCATTCACCTGTCCCACTATGACAATTCATGCTAATATTTGTCCTCTCCGACCCCCTGTTAGTTGCAACCCAACCCAACCCAACGTTTAAATTCAGCTCAAGTGGAATCTGATAATAACGGCATGGATATTACTCCGCGCTCGCGATTCCAAGTACCGTACGAATCGAGGGGCTCAGTCAAATATACAGCGGCTCGGTGGTGGACGGCCCACCTCTGCAGTCTGTGGCAATACACCCTCATCTTCCGCAGATGATGCCTGTTCGACTCGGACCCGGGACATGTGTTGAAAGTTGTTGAGTTTGTTTCATCTTTTTGGGAACCTATTCAGAGCATTTAATGTCGAGAATAGATTGCGGCACTCACCACGTCACACATTTCTCGGTGGTGGCTGGTTCAATGTCTGCACCCATCAAATGTGTGCCCATCGTGTTTGCAGTATAAGTAGAATCTCGTTCGAGTCGGGACTAAGTCTAAGCGCGACAATCGTTGTCTTCCCCTTTTGATCCTTTCATCCATTTCTGGACTTCGAAATGGACCATGAAATAGCATTTATCTTCCCATAATCGTATCGTTGCCGTTCGGCGTTCTGCACTGTTCTTTCAACTTGCTTTCAACTTGAGTCCGTGCGTTTTAATGTGAGCACAAAGGATATTTTAGTTTTGCACTTTGCGGATGAAGTGGGGTAGCTAGTACCACGCATCAACCACGCATAGAGGTTGAATGTCGAACAAGGAACGCGGAACGCCAGCCTCGGAGGATGTCGGAACTGATCGGCAGGATCACTTCACAACAAGCACAAACCAACCGGCTTTTTGCCCTCCTCCATCACCTCACCGACCACCCGCTCTTGCTCGTCGATTATCATACGTCTGACTCGCTGCATGACTCACCCTCTGCATCAAGGGAACAGCACTTGCATCCGCGGCTGCCCGCCCGCCCAAGAGCTCATCGATTTGGGAGCGCATCGCCGACGCATCCGACCATCTGCATCGCCGACGATCCTGGCTGGAGTGCACCACATCTTCGGCCACCGGGGTGAGAGTTGAGCCGAGTTACACCACAGAACTAGTACTACAGTTGGTGAGTCGTTTTCGACTTCATCTATCGCATTTATGCTTTGTTCTTGCTTCTGCTCCGTGGTCCATCGATGGCCTTCAAGTTCTACATCCCAACTGCTGGTTTCTGCGGCGCTGTCCTCGACGTGCCCTCGGCCTCCTTTCTTGCCCACGGACCTTCCCGCTGGTCGTACGCTGTCCACATCTCCACCTACCGCACTGTACATGGACAATCTCGGTCGTATTCCCTGCTATCCACCGGTCCTTCTCCATCCTTCAGTGTTACAACTCGCATAATCCTAGCGTCCCTCCCATATTATCTGTATCCTCGAGCTCCATATGCATCCCTCTGCCCGCACCACCCCTTCTGTTCTCACAACGTCGAGCCTACTCGCCTCGTCGGCATCACCACAGCAACTTGCGTTCTCGCAGCCCTCTATTCCCATTCGCACGCGCTCCCTGATGCGCTTCTCTATTATGGCGTTCCTATTCGCTCATTGCCTTAATCTTTCAATTTTCCCTGTACCCCTTCCAAGTCCGGCCACGGCTTGTGTATCTGTCCGCACTCCCCACCCAAGCACCCCGGCTCATCAGGTTCTCCCCCTATCCTTCTGACTTCGTTCTGTTTTCTCTGCATGCGTTGAGGCATACATTCCTTAACCTCAAGTTACGCATCGGGCCGCATTCTTCCTCGTCGATTCACGCGATTACTCGACCTTTGGCGCCAATCGTCTAACAAGCAACACTCTGACTTCGTCAATGCATGGCCGTGCCGAACCATCGGTTTAAGCATTTTTTCGCAGATTACAATGACCTCCTTTGGTCAATATTCTCATCGGTACGCACTCCATCATAATAGTGTCTCCAGCTGCACTTGCTGATTATTCCCCAAGCGCGATTTCGCTGTGTGTCATGAAGAATTGTGCTGCGACCATCCTTGTGCGAAACTGGCCGCTGCCCACGTCCCCGCTCCAGGTTGGGTGTTACTGTTGTTTCGCTTCTGTGTGTCGCACTTCCTTCTCTTTTCTTTTTCCCCCCTTTCTATCCGGGTTGCATTTTCCGGCTATTTCGTGTCCGTTTGGGATTTCAAAGTGATCTGCGGCAGTAGTTGGTTTGTGCCGTGTTTCATCACGTCGCGTATAAGCCTTGCATTGCGCCTTAGGTCTGGATGGCACACAACGCTTCTCTCGTGTCGACTCAGTTCTCAGTTAATTATTAGCTGCAGGCAATCCGACCCTCGTAACTCGTTTGTCGCCGACCGACCGTACATTTGCTGATATGCAATGGACAGTGTACGCATTCCCCGGCACGAGTTGAACGGATAGGGATCAATGCAAACGCTAAACAAGTCAGGGAAGGCTCGGCGGGGGATGGTCCCCGTCTGCAACCCATGAAAAGGTTTTTCGTCAGGGCACGTTCAACCGCAGGAGAAGCCCGTTCGATTCGGGCCCGGGCTATACAGATGAACGTTGACTTTTTTCTCTCCTCCCGGAGCTCATGGCTTCTCGACTGGTTTCGAGCCCATAGCCGGGTTTACTATGGGTTCTGCTCATCCTTTTCTCCGTGAACCTTTGGAGCGACTTCATTTTCTAACACGCGCCACGTTGGAATTCCTCCTCACGCATTTTATATTCAACAGCTCCCGCAGTCCGCCTGAGAGTCGCGGGAAACATCCATCTCATGCTGAACGTTTCATGATGTGGGACTTCGAATCGCCCCGACACCCCAGTTCCGAATTGAATAACTACATGTACCGCCCTGGTAGCACAATCCTGGCAGTGCACCCGCATTCTATCCGAAAAAACCCACGAAGATTTACTTCGCGGGGGATGTTCGTTCGAGTCGAACCTGGGGCTTGAATCGATTTTGATACCCTTTTTCTTGGCTGTTCACCCGTCTATGCATCCCAGATCTATGAAAAGATGCTTTATGTGCACGTGTGTGGAGGCTTAACATTATTCGAGTGTGGAGCCTTGCCGGTGTATTTGTGATTTCGCAATTTTCGTATGATTCGGGGGACTAGATTGAAGTACAGAACGGCTCGGTGGTGGACGGTCCAGTTGCACAAAGAGTAGGAAATCCTGCAGAAACTTCTCCTGGGAGGCCAGTTCGACTCCCGCCCGGGACATGAGCAAGTAGGGTGGTGCACGGCTTTTGTTCGCAAAACACAATTGTTCCGGGTCTCGAAATACTTATTCAATGCCGGCTCCACCAGTACTCCCTACCGTCAAGCTGTTACGTTAATTTTTGCTACCTCCGCATATCCAGCGACAGGCACATTTCTCTGACATTATGCGCCTACGACTGGTAACGGGTTGCTTTCGGCGGCGCAATTGTTGAGGTTTGAACGGTTTGAAATGACACGGAGTTTTGACAGAAAAACGGGAGGGAAAATACCACAGAGCCCAGACTCGAATCGAACGAGTATCTCCCACAACAAACTATCGAGAGCGTCTCAATTATCCTGTGTGGGTGCGGGCCTTCTGCCACTGGGCTTTCCTGGCATCGTTGGTGACCTGGATACATCGGCCCGTTTTTTGCGCATTATACGGTAACCGGCTCTCGTTCTGTAAAACTATGGCGGGAAAAACTCCGGTCTCAAACACCTAAGCTCAGGATCCATTTAATTTCTAGTTTTTCTGAACGGCAGGTCAGCATTCCGCACTCATTCAACTTTCACCACAAGGGAGTTTACAACACACATTTGGGCGGTCCGGCTGGGGTGGGACAGGAAGTCAGGGTACATGTGGCTGGGGTGCGTCCCGCTAGCAGGCCGTCAGTATCTTTGCTGTGAGAACCCCACTGGCTGATATTTTTCCTCAGGGAAATTAGCCAACAGTAAGGTGCATCCCTATCTTTCGATTTCATAGGGTTCGTAGTTGGTTTGGGACTGGTTCGAGACTATATTGCATGATGAATAAATCTTGTGTTGCAGATACAAACTAGTTAACTGAACTCAAGAGCCCCCAATCGGAATGATTTCCGAACCTCCGATAAAGCCGTTGCACACAACAAGGACAAATCAACCGCTCTTCGTTCTTCTCCACCGACAACCGGCAGATCCTCCGACTCCATCTGCGCTCCTGACCCGTCCATCTGCGCTGAACTCGCCCTCACTCGCCACTAGCTACCCGTCTGGGAACCTGGAAGACATCCTCGACTCTAGTGCCTGTGCCGCCCGCTGCTCTCACGACCTCGGCGACTCCGACTCATCAAGCCTACTTATCTGCATTTTCACAGGTACTGGGGGTCGCTTACAGCCTCGTTCCACAAATTCCCTTTGCTCTGCATTACGAACCCTCCGTTCCGTAGTCTTCCGAATCCGGGCGCACAGTACAATGTTCTGTGCGTCGCCATCCACGCTCCCTCGGGCGCCTATGCATGCCCCTGGATTCGCTATTGGTGCAATTTGCCCACATCGCAATGGCTTTCCCTCTGCCTGTACGGTTGTGTATCAATCTGGGCCTCCGATGAACAGCTTTGAGTCTTGAATATTTGAATCCCGAACGCATCTATACGCATCGCTGACAATCTTGGCCCTCAGCTGTCCGCTCCTCCGTGTATGTTCCGCACAGAACTGGTACTACAGCCCGTGCGCACTCTTCCTCCATGTTTCTCCAGCGCCGTGCCCTTATCCAGCGCCGGCAACTTGTGTTCCGTCCGCGCTCATCATCCCCACATTCCTGGGCTCCCCTGTCTGTATCTGGCACCTCGCCGTCCACCCTGCCCAGCTTCCTGTGCCCGACGTACCATTCCACGCTGCGCTTCCTCAGAATTCCCATCAATTCTGCGCGCCCTCCCATTCGTAGACGATCTCACATCCCGTCGCGCTCCATTTACCTTCATCACAGACTTGCATCAGCTCGCGTTGATCTTCCCTCGCATATATCTGATACATCTGAATCCCGACTTGTGCACCTTTCTTATCGACCAGCATCGTTCGGATCCGCATACCCATACTCCCATTTCTACGAATCCATTCGTCCGTAATACGCCAGCCTTGCCGTTCCGGGCTGCATTTCATTCTCTGTTCACCGCTCCCCGCTAACCCTTCCTTCTGTCGTCCCTACCGGCTCCGAGTCAACTCCTGCGCTCACCCCATCGCTCACCCCATCGGATACCTGCCTCCACCCACACTGCATAGGCCGTTTCTGTTGTACGGGTATAGGTCTCTAACGTTCGGGTACGTGTTAATTCTTCTCTTCTGGTTTGATTATCGGAATGCGAGCAGGGGCACTCTTCCTCTGTGTTTCATCAGACCTCGACTGGAACGCGCGTCCCATTTATGCGACAACTACAAACCCATCCGTTTATCGCACTCGCTGACGCATTCGCGTTCATGTCTTAGGCGTGATTCCCGTGCTGCTACGACCGATCCGAGTATGGCAATGGGCTTCGTCTCATTTGCCAGCCCCATTCTGGATCATCTGAAATGGTACACTTGTGGGTGCGGTACACGATGCACGCCGTGCATCCATTATCGGGCATTTCCGACTGCTTTTCGGTGCCTTTCTTTCTTTTAACCATAGTAGCATTCAATTTCTCCACTCAGTCGCAGCTCCCGTCTCCACCTCAACGCCTGCACCCACTATCGCCATATTATGAGCACAGAGAATTTAGTGGTGTTTCGTTGTGTTCGAGTCGGGCACGTGTTCTGCGCTTCGACTTTTTGTTCAAATCTCCTTGGCATATCTTCAGCTGTTCTGCCTAATGGGACGCGTTCCGTTTGCTTTTTCTTTTCCCAGCTTGAACATTACATTTCAGGCATAACCTGTTGACACAAACCCCAGCATGCGCTGCGACTTTGCGTTAGTAAGCCGCGCCAACTCTCGACAATTTAAACTCAATTCTACCCTCATAACTTCAATAATCGTTAGGGGTCAAACTCCGTTTTCTTCGTCACCTTACAAGGATTAGGGAGCTTGCAATTTACACCGTGGTCCATTCCTGTGGACAAACTGGCGATGGGTTTATTTTTTTGTCGATCTTCGCATCGTTATGACTCTATCTATCTGCGTTCCTGAGAGTCTATCTTTAGACTCATAGCAGGGTCGTCATTCTATGCATGCATTTTACCCATCCGCTCCCCGTTCTTCCCAGGAAGTCTTCCTTCCTCTGCCAGCGCCTGTCGTGTCTCGCATTGCACATCCCGGTGAGTCAGCCAGTAGGTATGTTACTATACCTCCCACATACTCAAGAATCATTAAGCTGTCTACAGTCAATGCGCTAGCATTTTACAGTGAGATGAGCACCATCTCTGGATCTGAATCTCACATTGCTTTCACCTGTTCCTTGTTGACGCGTTTCCCGTGTTGTTATTCTGCTGACCTCTAATACCGAGCTTCGTTTCAAGAACATCGACATTCTCTCGCAAAGAAATTGAAACCCTGGCAGTGTCCGCAGAATGGTGAATTTTCTTGTTCCCGGTCGCCGGTCGGTTGAGCCGGTTTGACTGGGGCATTGATCCCATGGCAAATCAAATATTTCACATCCTTCTGACGCTCCGACTTGCCACTGCATCACAAGTGACAAGTTGACATTATACATTCCCGGTGGACGAGACTCCCTCGTGATGGGTTCTTTCCTTCCTCCTTGATCTTTGCAAATTCAACCATACTGATTGAACCTTGCCTCGGCAATCCACAAGCGTAATATTTAGGTATGGGACAATCAAGTTGGGAAAGCAAAACCAGTCTAGGTACATAGGCGTACCGCTCTCTCACAGCAGCGTTGACCGCTATTCACTGGCCGTCGCTCGAATGAGATCAGCGGCCGCCTGGGACCTTGGAAGAATGGAGCATTTAAACGGCAACGGGAAACTGTGAAAGCATGTAAGTAGTCTTCCAGACATCCCCATCCCCCTTACGCACGCTATAAACCCAGAATCGTATTCGTACGACGGCTCGATCTCCCGTCCTTGGTCGTCACGCGCCTTCTTTATCTCGAATACCGCGAGGAATGACACCACGGTGCTCCAAAGCGATGCTGACGCCATATGACGACCTGGGCAAATTCTGTAAGGGAGGTTATGAGTTCGGTACATTTGCAGGATTATGTTTAGGGAAAGTACCGTCGCCCAAAACCGAACGCTGTGTCTTCCACGTCGTGGTTGAGTTTCCCGTTTGTCAGGAAACGTTCAGGTTTGAACGCATATGGGTCAGGGTACTTGTCCTAACAATGATTGTCCATTGGAAGTCGGTAAAAAAGAGAATGCGTGGAACAGTACGGACCTCGTCGTGCAAAATGGCCCTGGTCGCATCGGGTCAGGACCCTGCTAGAAATTCCCCACAGAAAGTACTGACCATGTATTCCCGATGACGATTGAGTTTGCGGGGATGCGATAGCCTTTGTATTCGTCCTCGACAGTTAGGTAATGGGGAATAGCTTCGATAAATAGTCAGTGGCTTTGAAATATGGAATCAAGAAATACAAACCAATGGGCCCGACGTTCTTCCAGCGGAGAATCTCTTTTACCATCGCTGCGACATACGGCAGCTCCGCCTCGTCCAAAAAGGTGGGTAGATATCGCCCCCCAGTGACCTCGTCGATCTCGGCCTGAGCTTTCTGTTGTGCTTTTGGGTTCGACAACATTGCGAGAATAAATGTACCGAGGGCAGACGCGGTTGTATCCGCCCCGGCAACGTACATGGTGGCCGCAGTTCCACTTATCGTGGTTTCCGTGTAGTAGAAATCTGTGCCTTTCTCCTTCGATGTGTTGAGGGCCTGGAGGCTGTCTCCGGCGAACGACGGGGGCGCATTGCCAGATTCCTTGATGGGTTTAAAATTAAGAAAAGTCAGCCAATGGATCACGAGGTAGCGCACAATTTGTCTCTTGGTCTCTGCATATGGGACCTCC